CAACTGCATACTATTAGTCTCAAATCTGCACTTTTAGTATTTTGTCTTTATTTTGTGTCTAATCTGTGAAGATTGTTTGACAATAGTGATAAATAACTCCATTAAGGCTTCTCAGAAGATTACATTTACAGTACTCTTTTTGTAAGTTCATAAATTATTAAGTTTTGAGTGGTCTATTATTACTTCCTTTGCACATTTACATTTACTTGTATGCACACATATGTTAGAAGAATATGTATTTTACACACCTTACTACAAAACTAGACTTGCGAATTTCATCACTATGTATTCTAACACAAATGCCCTTACACAAATGCACATTCAAGTACGCTCAAATTAACCACTCAAAACTTAAAGTACAATGACATGCACTTACATTCTCCTTTCGATGCACCGGCGTGTTCTTCAGTCCCTTCCGGCACCATGTTCTGAACTCCAATACCTTCGTCCGTGCATGTCCTAAAATAAACATCTCTTCCTCCTGTAACCCACGAAAATTCATAAAGTCTTTCATTATACTTCAACATTTCTTCTTTTCAAACTCCTTCATCCAATGCTCTGTTCGTACTCGAAATTAAACGATTAAGTACCAAACAATGCACTTACCAGTTCCGGCGCCAGCACCAGGGACGTTCATCGCTTCACAATTCATCCTCTCCGTGCTACCCTCTGCTTTTTTGCACAAGACCTTGTATGTCTTCTTTCCATTTCAATATTTGGAATCGGAATTTACAGAATCGAACCTACCAAATTTCAATCGCCTATCTTTGGTAAGGCCGTTTGTTTTGGGATTCTCGCACCTCGGCCGCCTTTTTCTGCACGAGACCTGATTTTTTCTCCAATTGAAAGGTCTATTTTAACCCTCACGTGCCTCTCCTTTAATTGCCCACACCCTCTCATTAAAAACTTTCCTTCTACAACATTTTCGGCTGAGGTAATTTTGCACACCATCCAACCGTCCAAATACACAAATCAATGACTCTAAAGCATTCTTATTTCTCTCCTAAACAAGTGTTCTTACTTGAATCAAACCCTATATATATAGGGGTGAGATCACATACAAACCATGCTTAATTTACTAATTTACAAACTCAATAATATGCAACACTTTGAACTTCAATATGCAGTACAAATAATGTAAAGATTCACTCTTTAAACTTCAATATGCAATACAAATAATGTAAATATGAGACTGCTATTTTGTGGCTTGAAAAATATGAAACACTTTGAACTTCAATGTGTGATACAAATAATGTAAAGATGATTTGTATGAGAGGACTAGTTTGTATGTGATCTCACCCCTGCATCTTTACATTATTTTTACTGCATATTGAAGTTCAAAATGATGCATATTATTGAGTTTGTAGGTTAGTATTTTAAGCATGGTTTGTATTTGATCTATTATATATATAGGGAGCGGTTCCGGTAAGAACGGACTCCCAGGAGAGAAATGAGAACGAATCTGGACCGTTGGATTATATTATGTGGAACTGGATTGTGCATTTGGTGAAACTGAAATGTGCATCAAATGATATTGAAATATGCAGAATAAAAATTTAAACTCAAGTGTGCATTAGGTGAAACTGAAATGTGGAGAATAAAAGATACAAATATAACATCACATCGCACCTTTTATTCTGCACATTTCACGTAGCGCACATTTCAATATCACCTAATGCACAATTCAGCTTCACATAATGCCACTGTATCGTACCTCTTGTGCTCCACATTTCAATTTCATCTGATGCACATTATAGTTTCATCTAATGCACATTGAATTTCACTTAAAGCAAATCTAACGGTCCAGATTCATTCTCATTTCTCTCCTAAGATCATGTTCTTATTTGAACCAAAACCTATATATATATATATATATATATATATATATATATATATATATATATATATATATATTTCGGATCAAATAAAAACCTTTCTTCCCGTGAAAACTACAAACCGGACACTTTTCCCCCATTGTGATGCACTATTAGGTTTTTACATTGCACTTTTTCAAAATGCCATACAAGTTTGACTTATTTACAAAAGTGCCACGGTTTTTTTCTATTTGACATGATTCGACCAAAGCTCAAAAAGTGAAAGAGACGAGCTTTAAAGTGAATCAAATTGAGCCAAAAGTGACGGTTTGCAGTTTGCACGATAAGAATGGTTTTTATCGGAACCGCATCCTATATATATATATATAGGGAGTGGTTCCAGTGAGAAAGGACTCCCAGGTGAGAAATGAGAATGAATCTGGACCGTTGGATTGTATTATGTGAAATTGAATTGTGCATTTGGTAAAACTCAAATGTGCATTACATTAAATTGAAATGTGCAGAATGAAAAATAGAACTCAAATGTGCTTTACATGAAATTGAAATATGCAGAATAAAAGGTATAAAAATACCACTGCATCCTAGTTTTTATTCTGCACGTTTCAGTTTCACGTAGTGCACATTTCTGTTTTTCATAATCCACAATTCAGCTTCACATAATATCACTATGCCTTACATTTCGTGTTGCACATTTCGATTTCACCTAATGCACATTTCAGTTTCACTTAATGCACATTCAATTTCACAGAATACAATCTAACGGTCCAGATTTATTCTCATTTCTCTCCTAAGATCATTTTCTCACTTGAACCTTGTTCTATATATATATATATATATATATATGTATATATATAATAAAGATCAAATGAGAACAATTCTTAACGTGAGGACGTGATAACACCACATTTACCCAACTCCAACGTGTTGCACAATGAAGCTTGTATATTGCACATTTTCACACTATTTATCAAAACGCCACCATGTTTATATAATATAGGCTTAATTCGAGCAAATTGAAAATATTCAACAGTATAGCTCCATTGTGCACCACATTGATTTAAATGTGAGTGTTCTCACGTTCTCACGTTAAGTATCGTTCTCACTGGAACCGCACCCTATATATATAGGAAGGATCAGATCAAATAAAAAGTGACCCCTAGGTGAAAAATAAGAACTAATACAGGGCTTTAAATTGATAAAATGGAAGGATCGGGTCAAATTTTAAATCAAAAAAGCGGTGGCAATATGGTAAATATGTACAACTTTTATTGGACCCGCTAACGTAAGAGTGCATCACGCTTCGAAATAAAATCAAAAGTATAATAATCAATTTGTAACTTTTTAATGAGGTAAATGTGCACATTTACATACTCCGTATCATATATGCATGAATATTCTATATGCACTTTTACTACTATGTGATTTTTAAGTATTGCACATTTGGGTTTAGTATTTCTCCAATGTGATTTTTTATCTCAATTCATTTTTAAGTGATCAAGGACTTAGATCACTTCTCACTTTTATGGGTGGGTTCAAGTAAAAAGTAATCTTCCCATGAAAAGTGAGAATAAATTTTAGCCTTTAATCACTTGCAAATGGATGGATTTAATGAACTTTAATCATAAGAGACAGAGTCAAATAATGTGCAAATGTTTATAGTACAAAGTAAATATTAAATGAATAAAAGTGCACTCATGAGTGTTAAAAAAGATTGGCATATTTTATGATGTATTGTTATGCACTTTTGTGCTATACCCGCCTATACATGTACACTTTACATATTTTGATACACTTTTCATATAATAATTTTGTTAAAACTTTTTCATAATTACCAAAATGCCACCACATTTTTCACTTAAAATTTGATCTCTTCCATCCATTTTTTCATATTTATGGTCAAGATTAGTTTTTACTTTTCATATTTTTTATTTGATATATATATATATATATATATATATATATATATATATATATATATATATATATAGAGAGAGAGAGAGAGAGAGAGAGAAAATAAAAATCAAATGAGAACGTGAGAACACCACATTTATCCCAACGTGTTGCACAATAGAGCTTGTAGATTGCACTTTTTCGCGTTTTCGCAATATTTACCAAATTGTCACCTTGTTTTTTTAATAGAAGCTTAATTCGAGCAAATTGAAAATGTGCAACAGAAGATCTTACATGTGCACCACATTGATTTAAACGTGAGTGTTCTCATTGGAACAGAAGATCTTATTGGAACTGTGTCGTGTGTGTGTTTTTGTGTGTGTAGAGAGAGAGTAGTCTTCATGTCAGGTCGGCCAGACCAGGACAGCCGTTCAGCTAAGCCGGTTTGGGGCTCTTCCCAGTGGAATTTTTTGATGAAATATTTTGAGCATGTTCTTCATTAAGTATAGTTTCTCCATACCAAATTTCAGCTGAAAATTCAATCGATAAGTAAGTCAAATGATTTTTTGAAACATACTGCGTTGTACATGTTGTTATTTTTATTGTACATGTATTGCTCCCTTTGTCCCATTTTGATGGTCTCTTTGCGGGGTTTACAATGCTTGACCGACGATAAAACAAATAAATCTCTGTTCATACTCAAATTCTTTGTAACAAATGAAATTTACATACTCAAAAACTAAATAAAAAAATGTACAAACTCATCAAAAAAATCAAATTTGATAAAAGTTTGATATATAAAGCAAAAGATTAAAAGTTATTTGTGTTGATCAAGTTAATAGTATCTGGAACCATCAAATTCACATCGAGGTAGCATATAATTTGACATGATTTTTATTCTGAAACAAACAAGTGTATTACCTTTGTCCACCTAATATTGGGATTTGGGATGAAAGAGAGTTGAGTGATTTCAAGAAAAGTAAAATTATGTAGTTGATAATAATTGATAAATTGGGAATAAAGTAAAAATGAATTAGAGACACATTTACCAAATATAGTATGAGATAATAATATGAGGACACCAAAAAATGAAAAAATGAAACAATTATAGACAGACAGGAGTATATAAATGTACTATATATTTCTTTTTGGGTATTGAAATTGGAATGTTAAAAATTCTTTAAAATTTAAAAAAAAAAACTTTTATTTTGGAAAAAACTACCATGCGACAAAAAAATTTACTTTTTTTTGGAAAAACACATTAATGACATGTTTGTCGTACAACACGTGAAAATTAAAAAATATATATATAATGGATGAATAACTTTGCAGTTCACTGAAAAGCAATAGTCAAACGAATACAACATTCAGGACAACCAACCACCCCACCACTAAAACTTGACTAACTCAAAAATGGTAATGGACTGAATGAGAACATTAACAATAAGAATCATTGGCTTATCGTTCTGTACAGAAGAAAATAGGGGGGATAAGCTTATTCAGGTCTGTTCGTTTCCGAGCTACTCTTTTACAAGTCTTGCGGTTTCTCCACAACAATCCCAGAGGAACAATATCACGCTGCCTCTGCGGGACTACTACAACTACTTCCTTCTCTACGGCATTGGGTTTTCCAACCTTCCTTCTCACCTCCGTCTGTCGAGGAGATGGCGTTTGGGGCTCCTTCAATTTTCCAACCCCAGATCTGTTTTCAATATAAAAGATATCATATAACGTTTGTAATTCACACTAATGCACTATCTGCACGTAAACTTGTGCAAAGTTTGGTAGAAGACACTTTTCTCCTTTATCAGCCCCATATCTTACCAAGTTTTTATGTAGTGGTCAGGTCAAAATGTTTGCTGAAAAGGCCTTGTAATAGAAAAAAGGCGGAGGTGAATGTTTTTTTTTTGGCTGAAATGATTGAAATATAAGGAAATGAAAATTTCACCTTTACTTGCTGCCTTAGTTGACCTTATAATACATAAAAAATGGTGCTGAAGTTACTACCTTTTGGAAGGTACTTTATGTACAGATGATGATCTTTTCTTAATTAAAATATAGTTTTATATACTGACCTCATTTCAACTAAATCTTATCTCAGCAAACGGGCATGAATACCTCCGTTATAATTTAGAGAATTTAATTAAAGATCATGTGAATGTTTATGATTTTTGTTTACCTATCTTCAGCAGCTAGTGAAGGAACATCAGCAGGAGTATCTTCTGATTGGACACTACAGGCTGGGCAGATATATATCTTTGGGAGGGTAGACAATTGGATGCAATCAAAGTGATACCACTCGTCACACTTATCACAGGCAATCATCGCCCTCTGATCATATGGTCTCCGACAGATGCAGTAAAGCAAACACCGATCCCTCAATAACTGCATTTCCCCCCGAAAAGAGATCGTAGTTGAGGTAAATAATATTTCAACATCTCATGAAAAAGCATGTGTCTATATGTGTAGCAAATGTTTTCTTACTTTCAGTTCATTCTCACAACTCACAGGCAAATTTTCTCCCTCCGATAGCAGATTGAAGACCTTATCCAATCCAAGTATACCACCGTCTGCAGCAACCTACCAAGACAAGACAGAAGTTAGCAGCCTTTGGTTGAAGGATTTGGAGGGAAGGGAAGGAATTGAAGGCGTTAGGGGCGTTTGGTTGATGAAATCTTCTAAACTCCTCATATTTTACTGCCCAGTCTTGGGGGAGCTCTTCTCCCGTCTAAATTTCTATCACTATATTATTGTTGTAAATGTAGACTAATACTCCTCCATCCAAAAAAATAGTCATGATTAAAACAAGTTTTTTACCCTGAAAAAGTCAAATTTCAACAATAGGAATCTAATTTTCATAAATTTTAGTGTGAATTTTTAGTTTTCCAAACAAGTGTTCCAAACAAGTCATATATGTTAAATTTAATTGTAAAAAATTATAAATACAATGAGCATTAATAATTTAAGAGAGTTGTACTTTACCAAAACTTAAAAGATTGTGCCTTAATGAAACATAACTATAATATGGGCGGGAGGGAGGATATCTCCAATTATAGTAAAAACCATATCAAAGGAAATATTTGGGAAATTACCGTAAATAGGACCAAAAACGTTTGCATATTCTAAAATAGGATTATCATGTTTTTAGTCGCAATAGGACTAATTATTGCCGCATTTTGGCAGTACCATACATACTATACATTAAACATGGCATATTTTGGAATTTTCAAACTTTTTTACTCCTATTTCAGGAATTTTCCGAAATTATTTTAAGTATTAATTCCTCACACTCCATTGAACCAAATATAGTATTTTTTAAACCTCCACTTTTTTCCTGACCCTTCTTTTGAACCGAATAATGGATTAGATAGCATGAACTACTACCTTCTTTGCAGTATCAGTCCATTGCAATCCGATATTCTTTGCTTCTGTCATTATCTGCCTAAAGTAATCTTTGGAAGAAACATTTATAGAAAATCCCTGAAGTATAAATATAGTCCGACTATCAGATAATGAAAAGCACATCTCGGGAAAAAAAGTTAAAGAAAACTAATTAAGAGTCGGGGAAACCTTCTTTAAATGTTGCCGGAGGTGTTGAATAGTAGGCTTATGTGGACCATTCATAAGATTCTGAGCTCCAACTCTCCATGAATTTCTTGCTAATGCCAACTCAAACTTGCAGTTTGCTTCGCAAGCAAAAATTCCAGCCACATCTACTGCCTGTATGGATTTAGAGTGGAGAAAGGTATGATAACAATTTTTTTGTTTTTGACAAAAACAGATTTATTAGATTAAAAAAACTAAAATGAGAAACATGGCATCGTTATAATTCCAGTACTTATTCTGATGTATCCAAAAAACAGGTCTAGTACTTATCAAGAGTATGTTCACCTTTACCTTTGAAAATGCAATGGAAAATGACCCACGATAATTTGTTTTTAATGTATATATTATTAGGTTTCTTAGCTTTTATGTAATAGTGTAATACTGCAATAGACATAATAAATACTCCCTCCATCCCATTTAAAGGTTTCCACGCGGTTTACGATGTTTGACTGACCATAAAGTTAACTGATCCCTGTCATTAGTAGAAATATTTTTAGTAAATAAAATTTACATATTCAGAAACTACATTAAAACCGCTACCAAGCCTGATCAAGAAAATTTAAATTTGATAAAAGTTGGATATATAAAGTAAAAGATTAAGAACAATGCACGTTGATCGGAGAATAGTGGACGAGAACCTTTAAATGGGACGGAGGGAGTATATAAAAAGAGTATTGAATAAAATATCTAAAATAAATTTAATAAGTTTTAGCTGCCTTTTATTTTCCTTCCCATTTTCCTCTATGTTTTCCTTTATATTCTCTACCCAAGTATTTCCCAGATTTAAACTGACCCCATGACATTTTGCAATAAAAATGAATAAAAAAAGAGGTGAGTACTCAGTAGCCTAGGAAAGGCACAAAGAATGTGGTTAACAGGGGAATCATAAGGGTCCGTATGGAACTCAGAAAATACAACATAAAGAAATACAGAGGAGAATTGGGGGAAAAGAAAATGCAGGGGGTTAAAATTTGATCAAAGCTCAGTAAATTAATTTTAGATATTTGTTCCAACCCAGTTCTATTACATAAAGACAAATTTAAATAAATACAAAGTTATCAAAAGGTTGTGAGCATATTTGACATTCCTTTGCATTTTCAAGGTAAAACTAAACAAAAATAAATAAAGTTTTGAAAATGAATCATTTTCCTTGGTATACTTTCCAATTTCGCTTCCATTTCCCGAGTTCCGAATACAGCCCAAAGATAAAGGAACTCTGGTGATGATGATGATGATGATGATGATGATGATGATGAATAACCAGTAGTAAACATGAATATTCACCTTCAATGCAACAGACAGTTTTCCAGAAACAATACTTAGATCTTCCTTGTCAGGACAAACTAATGCAGAATCCAGCATCTTGCCTATGCGAGCACTAAGCTGAAGACCTTTGGCCATGATTTCACGCAGCAACCATATTTCATCAATCCTGTCACATGAAACCCCAAAAGACAAGTTCATATAACATCCTTCATAATGTAGACAAGCATTATTAGGATCTACGATACATACAAAAAACTAGGTTTATAATTCATTACACCTCTTTTCCAATTAGTCTGCACTTTTTTCAGAGAAAAGGGAATTACACAATTTACTATTGTTACCATAAACAGAGATCATCAGCATCTGACAAAAGCTTTCTGAGCTTCTTCAAGTAAAAACGCTTCCGTCCTATTCTCTATATGATGATGCAGAAGTGTAGAGAGCATTAGAGCAGATAAACAAACCCCAGTATTATGAAGGACAACAGTTTAAGTGTTTAACACTAATACATACCAGCAAGTTGCAACCATGTGTAGAGATTTCCCCACTTCTCGTGAATTCACAATAGGGGCAAATAAATGAAATACTTTTTGTCGCCAAAAATGGTTGTCCAATACATCCCAAGTGAAAGCTGTGTATAGAAGATTACTACCTTTCAAATATGTGACATCAGAAACAACCGTAACATATAAAAATTGGGAAAATTCCCGAAATAGGAGTAAAAAAGTTTGAAAATACCAAAATAGGACTGCCATGTTTTTATTCCCAAAATAGGAGTAATTACTGCCAAGTTTGGAAAATACTGTCATGTTTAAAGTATGGTACTGCCAAAACATGGCAGTAAATAGTCCTATTTTGGGAATAAAAACATGATAGTCCTATTTTAGAATATACAAACGATTTTAGTCCTATTTTGGGTAATTTCTCTATAAAAATTACGTAAAATATTACCAGCCATTGCAAGAAGAACAGATCAAAAGATTCCGGTTGTTACTATCGGTTGAGCAGAACATACACAGATCTTGGGCTTTGGAACAGTTAGAATTCTCAACAATGCAAAATGCCATATCAAAAGCATTTCTAATCTGCATCAAAATTGGAAATTTCCCATAAGATAAGATATCTTATATATGAAACTGGGAAATAAAGAGGGAAAAAACATTTTTAACCTCTAAAAGAGCACTATGTAGTATGATTGCTTCTCTAGAAGACCATAACATATCCATGCAGCGACACTTCCACTCCTCTATTTTATGAACCTCAGAGAAAACCATGTCCATTTCAGAACAGTTATATGCATCTATGCTTCCAAGTTCCTGAATGTGTTACAATCACTAGCCATTATCTAACTAACTCTCACGATCAACAAAAATGAGCATCGAAGCCCAATGAAATACAACATGCACTTCAAAATGTCCAACTACAGTAATATATAAAAATTGACTAAGCCAAAGTGAGGAAAATAAATTCACTTCAATAGTTCAATCACTAACTACAAACTGACTTTAATATTAATTGCACTACACGAAGAGACAAAATTTTAACCAAGGAATAGTACCTTTAGCTGCAGTAACATGCCTAGTTTCCGATCCTTTAAGTCGAGACTAAAAAATGATTTCACTTGCTCCAGCCACAAACTACAAACAAATACCAGTTACAGCGGAACTTTAAAAACACACTTGCATAAAACATTGAAATTTAGCAACTAATCCCGAGACTAATGATTAGACGTTGAATAATAGATGCATACACAACTAGGGGCTTATTAGTCCAATTTCTTACATAGTTGGAAAGTAAATACTCCCATCATCTCAAATGAAATCATGTTTTAGCATGGCATAGTGTATAACTTTTTTATAATTAATACTACGTATCAATCAAGTTACAAAACAAACCTAGAATTTTCAATGTCATATGACACAATAAATTGATCATTTTAAGTCTAATAAATCAATATAAACAAGTCTTTTGTGATTATTTTCTATAATTTAAACAGTGCTTTCCTGAACAAGATATGATAGTCTTTGAAAGTTTTAAAGAGTCTTTTGATATTCTATTCTGATAGAAAGTTCCAGAAAGATAAAGGGAAAATGTATTCTAGATGACACAAAACTTACTTATGCTTCGCAATAGCATTCTTGATTTGAGAGACTATCACAGAAGATGACATCTGAATATTCTGCAATTAAAATAAACAAGGGCATAACTTTGATCCCAAAAATGTAAACAGGCTTGCACGCATACCAGACGCGAATAGGAAAAAATGGTCTACCTGAGACTGCCTAAGAACTTCCTCAGCATCCTCCAAGTTGGATCTACTGACGTTAGATCGAACTGAAACTTCCAAGGCTTTCTTAAGCCATTTTACCCCGTCAAACAGCGCAGAATACAACTTACAAGATGCATGCATAGTAGGTAAATGGCCAACAATTTCCAAACTTTTCCCCACCTCCTACAACATAATAAAGAACACAAGCTAGAAATAGATCAGATGCAATTACAAGAAGTATGTATAATAGTGCCTATATGTCTAACAACTAATCAGTTGGGAATACAATTAATTACCTCAATGGAAGGACTCATTGCAGACAAAGAAAGAGCCTCGACGCACCACTTCAAAGTAGAACAGGCAGCTCGAAGTTTAGATATCATGTCGAATTTAAAACCAAGAGAGTCACCGGCTTGTATGGCACACTCAATTGAAGAGATTAGATGTTCAATTTTTGGGATGAGACTGCTAAAGAAATCATCTCCTGTGATATCAACATTCAAAAGGAAATCTGCATCGTTTAACAAAGAACAGCTATGCATCTCCCATTCAACACACTTATCATGAAGTTTCTGAACAATGGGTTGTTCTCTCAAAGAGATTTTCAGATGCTTTGACTGAGATGCCAGCTCCTGGAAAAAATGAATTTAGTACTGTAAACGTACTCCCTCCACTCTTAATCAATTGTCCATTAAGGCAGAAATATGTCTTTTACGGGGGTTACTATTTTGGTCATAAATTAACAAACACAACCTATTGATTTCTAGGTATAAAAGTGTTGTAACAGACAAAAGGGTGATTTTTGCCTGATAAATATGACATTGAACCTTCTTTATTTTACTATGTTTTGTTTTAATGGATTGCTAATGGCCAGTTGTTTATGAAAAAACTCCAGAAGTGTTTTTAGGTAATGAACAGTTATTTGAGAACGGAAGGAGTATATGGCTATGGGTAACAGAAAGTCAAGAGGAATGTGTCAAACCTGCAGGTCATCAACTTTATGCAACAAGCATGTAGAAGCACATGCCACTGGCGAATGGGGTGTTATAAAAGGTCTAGATCTGAGTAACCAAGACTTGGCAGTCAAAACGGCATCATTAATGTAAGCAAGAGAAGGTAGAATGACCACCAAATTTTCAGAAGCCCTATATTAAGTTTGAAACGTTATACAAAAGAAAATATTCCATTTTTTGGTCCCACGGTTATTACATCATTTTCACATTTAGTCTCCAATTTTCATTATTCCAATGTTGATGCACAACTAAGGATTTCTTTCTACTTCCAGTCCCTCTGATAACATATAGAGTTTATCTGGCCAAAAATCAACTGAAAATTGTATGAAAGTTGGCCAGGTAAGTGATTTGATGGACCAAAAATCGCAAGAAATCTATTTCCTTGCACAAAAAGTGGGAATAATGAATGTTGGACGAAATAGAAAATGGTCTGATAGTCGTGGACCAAAGTGGGGTATTTTCCCATACAAACATAACAGGAGATAAAGAGCAAGAGCTGGAGCGTGCAAAAGCTAGTACCTAATAGCATCCTCAAATTCAGATATGTCAGCCTTCGTTCTAAGTAAATGCTTCGCTCTTTCTTCCCAAGAAACAGCAAGCGCATGCACTTCAGAAATATCAACAAAAATATTCTCTTTATCAATCTGCAATCTGACATATATTGGCATATCAAGTCAAAAAATAAGCAAAAGGTTGAAGTGCATTATTGTTAAAGGGGCATATACTAGGAAACATACGTAATAGCTTCCACCAACAGCTGCTCTATAAACTCCACAGGTGTCCTGCTACGAAGTGCCTGTGTCAATCACATGCGACTTTAATAACTTAATAAAACACCATCATACATAATTGTTTAGGGAGACTGCAGTCAAACGCGCACGCCCACATGCTTAAGCGCACCAGGCGAGGCGCTGAACATGGGTTAGCGCCGTAATATCGTCCAGGTGAAAATAGAGCGCAAGAAGCGCTGAGGCGCAGAAACGCACACTTGTCGCGCCTGGGCTGGGAAAGGTTTCTCAGTTAGTCAGCTTATTTTTCTTTTTGTATATAAGAGAAGGGCCTATTGTAAATAAAATCATATTCATAATAAGGTATAGCCCATTCAAATAAGAGAGCAAAACATAAACCCTTCTCAATCAGTGTTTTGAAGAGTATACCGTACCTAAGTAGTAAGAAGTTCTCTCCTGCATTCAACTCACACCCCAGGTAAATCGCAGCTTCCCTCATCCTTCTCATTATGTTTCTTCTTTCTGTTTTCATCTTCGTGTTCTATTCAATTGTTCACTCTTTCTTATTTTCTATATTTTCTTTCCTTCCTTACTGTATGGTCTATCTCTTCTTGCATTATTTCTATCTTTTCATTTAAAATTGGAATTTTATCAATTCAGGACCTAAAAGATAGGTGAGTTATCAATCCGGGACCTGAAAGATGAAATATGTCCGTATAGGGGCCCCCGAATGATTGAAAACTATCCATCTAGGACCTAAGATGTCATGAATTTTATAATTTTTTATTTTAAAAATTTAAAATATAATTTAATTTTATTAAACTAATAAACTTTTGAGAAGAAAATTCCATAAAAAATTAGCAATGGAATTAATAAAAATTAAAAAAAATCAAAACCTATGGAATATTAGGTCCTAGATTGATCATTTTCAATCATTCAGGCACGATATCAACACATGTCATCTTCCAAGTCCCGGATTGATAATTCATTTATCTTTCAGGTCCCGGATTGATAAAATTCCTTAAAAAGTCTATATCTTTATTTCTCATTTGCTGCCATTTTCTTCTTTTGGTTTATATCTTCTCCTAACAGTTCTTCTCTTTTTGTTTGTTTTATCCTAACATGTTTTCTATTTTAAAAACATGTGTTACTTTCTCTCAAGTTTTATTTATTAATACTGCTAATAGAATAAGGTCTCCTCTTTTAATGATGAATGATCCTTGAGAGTTGAGACTTGAGCTAGAATTAACTAAATTTAGGTTTTAGTTTTAAAGATGAGTATGACTTCTTTAATGCATTTAGTTCAACATGATATTGAGTATATCATATTTCGTAATTCTAGAATAGTATACATAATACTTCGTATTTTCTAAGCAGTCCGCTAGACATGAGTTAGGCAAGCGCTTTTTGTGCCTTTCGCCTCAGGCAATATGACTACTCTAGCGCCTTGAGTGCGCGTCACGACTTTGACTACCTTGGAGTCACCTATTCGCAAACTTCTATCAGAGTCAAACCATAATAAATGTCAACAACAAAATACCCACCCACTGGTAAAGGTGGTGGATTTTATCACCTGGGGTCATTTGGGTTTTAAGAGGAATACTGCTACATAAGTTCTCAAGAGGCCAAAATTATTAGTGCAAATGATAGGATAGTACAATGCATCAGATTCACCTTCAATGCTTTTGATCTGCAGCTCGCCTTTTTTAGCTCAAATTCAATACATGGCAGCTCTTTAACTATTTAAAAAAAATGTCAGCTCATCTCCTCAATATTAATTATTAAATATCAACAAAAAGAATGCATCAAACATGTCCACGCGTCCACACCTTGAACTTTCAAACAAGATGCATCCCTCTGAAGGCAAATCAACTCATCAAAAACAAGTTCTTGATCTTCCCAATCACTGATGTTTAGAAGGATTTTCTTAGCACGGGATACCCAAGACAGAGCATCTTTGTGATATTGTTTTAGAAGTTCAAGCTCCATTATGTTAACAGTAAAACCAGCCCATTCATTAACAAGCAATTCAAGTTCCTGTCATGCTTTGAATCCAGTTAGCATTTCACTTCATCAATGTCTTTTACAATGATATATTATAATAGAGCATGTTAAAATTTCAGAAAATGCTAGGGATAGAAAAAATGCTAAATATAAAGGTTTGGTTTTGCCGTGAAACATAAAGGAAAATGAAATATAATTAATTACTTTTTTTTGTTATGCATTTTAGAAATTTAGATTTTATAGTCCGCATTTCCATCATTTGAAATGGAGCCAAAGACTCACTATTTTTTGGCTTTGGAATATGATAGAATAAAGCAAAATGACTCACTAAACTTTTTGCGCTTCTTTGTTATGAAGTAGCAGTCAGTTCATGGAATTTTCGACACGATTTTCACCATGGGTCATCCAGAAACAGTCTATGTGCTTTAGTACATGGGTAAGGTTGCGTACATCCGACCCACCCCTTAACCCACCGTTGGTGAGAGCCTTTGCGGCACTGGGATGATGGTGATGATGATGATGATGAGATTTTATAGTCTGCGCCCATTATTGATCTTGTAACTTTGCAACTTTACCGATCATATCCTATAACTAATAAGCTTGTGCATAGTAAGGACATTCAACCGAGATGTACTATTTTGGGAGGAAAAGATCACCGGAAAAGCATTAATATAGGCAAACTTATTAGTTACATAACATAATCGCCAAGTGAAAAAAATTACACGATTAATAATGGGCATATACTAAGTTACCAGACTAGATCAATAGATTTTTCTATAAATAAATAGATAAATAAAGTGCCTATGCAAACTTTAAATCCAATTAGCATTTCACTTCATTAACTTCTTTCATAAAGATACATTAGGGTATGTTTTGCCATAGAAAATACAAAGAAAAATGAAATGCAATTACTTACTTTTAGAAATGTTGGCATACTTAGACATTTAGGGCCTGCTTACTAACTGAGATATTTTCAATTTTCTATTTCTGTTTTGCGTCATCCAATTTTCTGTTTTCATTTTCCAGATTTTCTATCTCCAATTTTTAATTTAAATTTTTTACTTTTCCATTTTTAAATCTGAAAACATGTTCATACAATTTTTTCACCCAAGTCTGGGACCGACCAAAAGATCGAAAGTACGGTCCCAATCCGGAAGCAAACCTCGTACAACCCAAGTAAGGTACCGGGTCCAACGTATAGGAAAGTCGGGACCAAAACCGGCCGGTCCCGGTCGATCTCAACAGCTAGTTTGATGAATTTTTTTTCCATTTTCCTATTGGTTGACAACTCAACGGCTCTTTTAAAACTCTTTACTTTAAAAAATGATTTCGATTAAACGAGACTGAACCGCCGGGTCATTGACCGGCCCGAACAAGGACCGTCAGGTTGTCTACGGGACAAGCCCGGAACAGCCTGGCTGTTGATCGGATCAAACACAGACCGTCGAGTCATTTGCCAAACAGGATGGGGAATGCCGGATCGTTGATCGGTCAGGATGGGGACCACCGGGTGGTTGACCGGAAAGGATGGGGACTGCCGAGTCATTGACTACAACGAACGGGGACCACCGAGTCGTTGACTAGACCGGATCAGACCGGGATTGCCCAGCCATCAATCGGACCGAACAAGTACTGCCTGGTCATGGATCAGACTGGACAAGGATCGTTGGTTCATCGACTGGACCGGACAGGGCCTCCCGGGTTGTCGACCAGATCGAGACCGTCGAGTCGTCAACCGGATTGGACCTGGATTGCTCGGCCGTCGACTGAACAGGACATGGACCGCCGGGTCAATTACAAGACCGGACCGTCGGGTCGTTGACCGGACCATATAGGGACCATCGGGTCGTTGACCGGACCATATAGGGACCATCGGGTCGTTGACCGGACCAGATAGGGATCGTTGGTTTGTTGATCGGACCAAATTGGAACTGACACTGAAGTGGGACCGGATCCAACCTAGGCGTAAGTCTGCAAATTCATTACGACAGCACTACAGCATCCGCGTTTTCCAAATTTGGAAAACTAGTAAAATTTACTTCTCCAATTCATTAAGGAAAACAGAGATATATCTGATCTTTTGGTTTTGCAAAAGGATTTGGTAAACGCAATTTTCTGTTTTCCTATCTCCAGTTTTCCAACAATTTTATTGGTAAACACGTTTTCTGTTTTCTTTTTTCCAGTTTTTTTGAAAACTGGAAAATATCTCTGTTAATAAACAGGTCCTAGCTTTTTTTAATCTATAGGCTAGAAATAAATATTCATGTGTCGTCCAGAAACAATCTTTTTGTGAGTCTCTTTGTGCTTTGGTACATCCGACCCTCCTACCCCACCGTTGGTGGGGGCCTTTGTGGCACTGGGGTAATGTTATTGTTGACGAGAATATAATATACATGCATAACATATATAAAGTTTGAGCGCCTATCTAAAATACTCCATATATTTATCAAGTTCAAATCTCTTGCCTCAAATTTCCTTTCCTTCATTTTTTCTATTTATTTTCATCCCTACTTACTTCCTGAAGCATATTATGCATTCCAAACACACCCTTAAGAATAAGGATATATAATAGCACAATGCCCAACCTTTAAGCTAATAGAACCTTCCAGCATCTCTTGGCACTGAGAGCGGCATAATTCCGCTTTTGCAGCTAATTCTAATAAAATTTGAACTTCAGGGAGCTCAGCTTGAAGATCCGAAATCTAAATTAAAAAAATTATACGACAATTTAATCATCTGTACTGTAGAATCAGGACCGCGTGTGACAAGTAAAGAACAAAGTCAAGACTCGAGTGTCACCTCCTTCTTCAATTTATACAAAACATCTGCGTCAACCGCTGCAGGGGATTTCTCAGAGATGCATTTTTTAGCAGCATCTTCCCAGGCCTGAAGGATCTCAACAATAAACAAGTCCATTAGAATAGGCTAGAGCTGCAAATAAAGCAGCAAAAAAAACCAGTTCTAAAACAAGGACAATAATACTCAAATATATACCTTCACTGAAGACAGCATGTATATCAACTTTTCACTTTCTTTTGCAGAGATAGGTGAATCAAGTATCTTAGATTGCACGTTCTCCAATTCAACTACCTGAAATGGAAATTAACAGATGAAGTTGAAATCCTATTCATCTTATTCTTCAAATGAAATGGAAGAATAAGAAGTAAAAATGATAATTGTGGTGGAAGATGATGACAGCACTCATTAAAGAAAAGTAAATAAAAAAGAATAGAAACTAATCAACTGTATAGGTCAGAGACATTACACAATGAAATAATGAATGGGAGACTGTTCACATCAATAAATAAAAAGAACATACAGGAAAAGCATAGATCGCAACTATCTTACTTACAGAAATCTTCGGGCATAACAAAAGAACGGAGTCGATTTCCTGAATCAGAAATTTTGCTTTTTTATGGTAAGCCTGCATGCAATTATTTATTGAAGAAATGAAGAGTGATCAGAAAATTAAAGTCTGAACACCCAACTGAAGAGGTCACCATGTAACATTGATGAACTGTACCTTCAATTTGAGATAGGCAGGATCAACACAATGGGCAGGACTTAGACTTAGCAAATTGTCAACCAGCTCCATTTGGACCTTTTCTGAATCACAGTCACCTTTACATGACCATGCCTCTAATCTAGAGAGGCAATCTCTTATATTTTTAGTCCAACTCTGAGATTCCACCAACTTCTTTGTCATTTCTCTGACCTAAACCCAAGTGAGAAAAATACATATTTTGTTTGATGAAAGTAACCAACAAGCACAAATGAGAAAAGATTATCGTGTGATAGAGAATTTAAGCTAACATGATCCATTTCATGACCACCCCACAGAAACTGTTCAGCCTTTTTCAGTGCATCAATATAAGAAGCATCACACGAATATGGACTTTGTACAATCTTGACACAGTTTGAAAGCCATTTGTCAGCAAGTTGCACATGGGTGACAGAGTTACCCTTAACCTACAATCAGGGATGAAGTTGTACACGTGAGATTAAGATATGTAGAAATATATTTTGCGGTGTATAAACTAAGCTAGCAAATTTCAAATCTTTAAGCTTTAATACAATTATACAAATAATACATTACTAAAAATTCTGAATGGGGCATTTAATCAAGTTTGCTCTTTATTATAATAATAAGTCGCTTGGAAGTAGAAAAACCTTCTTTAATAGTGCAGGTGAATCAGTGGAGGTGAGAGGCTGGTTTTGGATGTTTTCGGATGGACCCTCAGAGCTACACTTGTCAGTAGAAAGCACTAAATCACTCAGTTCTGCCAGACTATGACGATAGAGAAGGCGATGTTTGTTGGGCTTGCACTCACAAAGATGTTCCCAGTGCTACAAAAAAATGTATCGCAATGATTACAAAAAATAGTTAAAAGACTGCAAAAGTTGTTTTATTTAACGAAAATTCGCTGTTTATTGATAAAGTCAATTATAAAGACATTTCCACTGCCAGGAAACAAGCGTTTTTTATGCATGTGTTTAGTGAAGCAACTTAAAATTGTAAACACATTACAAGTTTCTTGCGATGTACAGAGTAAAATAATTTTGGGAAAAGTACGGATAAGGTACTTGTGGTTGGGCCCGTTTTCAAATAGGGTCATGTGTTTCATTCTTTATCAAATTGGTTCATGTGTTTGAATTCCGTTATCTCAAGAGGGTCACGCCGTTAAAAACGTCTGAAAAAGACCGTTAAAAGTAACTCTGATTTTCAAAAGTGCTCGAAAAATTAAAAGAAAAATACCGAAAGGTGCGCCTCGTCAAGATGACCTTCAAACCATCTTCGCATTTGGATTTTTCAGATATGTTTGAATTATTTTTTAAAAATGATTTCGCTAATATCACTTTTCTGATGGACTTTCCGGTGACAAGGGTGACTGAAAACAAAAAAGAAAGATGGCCTAGCGGTCGTCTTATTGAGGCACACCTTTCGGTATTTTTCTTTTAATTTTTCGGGCACTTTTGAAAATCGGAGTTACTTTAACGGTCTTTTTCAGACGTTTTTAACGACGTGACCCTCTTGTGATAACGGAATTCAAACACATGAACCACTTTGATAAAGAATGAAACATATGACCCTATCTAAAAACGGGTTAAACCACAAGTACCTTTTCCATACTTTTCCCAATAATTTTTATAAAAAAAACTCCACATGGGCAAACCAAGCTAACTCACCTCAAGGCAAACAAAAGCTGATGGCCTACAGCTGCACACTACAGCAGAAAGATACAAATATTGTTGGCATATAATGCAGGTAGGATCCTGCAAAGAAGATCGTACAGCATGTCAATAGTTTTAGCAGGTCATTAAAATACATAAATAAAAACAAAAAACTGAAAGAAAATATTCTCAAATACCTCTTCAGTACTCACATATTGAGGCTGCTTACGAGGTGACAGTGTTGAAGTCTTAACTATGCCATTCATCCAAAGTAACTCTCTCCATGTTCTTTCCTTATTATAGATCCTAACCAGTTCCATTTTTAAGTATGGTGAGACCTTACTATCCAAATCACTCTGCAATAATATTTAACAAAGATAGATTCATTGTAAAATCAACACTAAAAGAAACAATTGTTTTCTCCCCCTCCCTAATAGGAGATCTATAGTAAGAAGAAAATAATTTAGAAAAGGTTCAAGCAGACCTTGGCCACCACACAGAGAAGTTCCTCATGGGATAACACGGCAGCTTTGCGATAAAGCTGGTAAAGTTCCGCTCCAAAACCACCGTGAGGTAGCCAATCAGCAGGCGCAAAATTGACAGCCTCAGCACAATTTAAACCTGCAACTCCATATTATGACTACATGACTTTGAAAGGATTAAGCACTTAAGTGTGCATAAATAAGCGAAAAATTATAAACTTCTAGCAAATTAAGCTTGCAATTTGAGCAGTAGATATGAACTCAAAAGCTTTTAAATAACTACACTAGAGTCATTACTACAGTGTGCAACTGTGCATAAGACATCAAAAAGTTTCAAGTTCTCCAAATCTTTAAGAGTGAACTGATACCAAAGTTGAAGCCTGCATGGTAAGATCTGGGGAAGGTAATAATAAAGTTTCCAGGCTCCTGTAACAAAACAAAATAATGTATCAAAGAAAACGCATTGGGGCTATGCAAGTGTGTCACTCCTTGATGTGTAGTAACTTCAGATAAGTGAATTGAGAAAGTTGTGTTTACACCGAACTGATCCACAAATAATCTATTGTTTGATTTATTCCAGAATGTGATACAAATCAGAGAGTTGTATTCCAGAATGTGTCACTCCGCTTAAAGGTTATAAATCTCCACTAATGACCACAAAACAGAGAGTTGCAAGATATGAAAATAAGGAAAGATAGAAAAACGTCCTAAAGTCTACCAACAACATAGCATACCTGTAAGACACTGTAAACGGGGACTCCATTTTCTTGCAAGACACGCGGGTTCAACATGGTTATGAGCTGAAACAAAAGATCAGGCTGTGCATCAAATAGATCAGGGAGACTATTTCGCATAACCTGCAGGAACATGAGCTTCACATTCAGAAATTTGACCAGAAAAAAATGTAAAAGTATCAAAAAGTACCTTCTCAAAGGCACAGACTTCGCTACCAGGAACACTATACCAACATTTTGGATCTCCCCTGAAAAAAAAACTAGCCGTGACTACAATAATAGCTTGAACTCGTGAAAACAAATTCCAAACAAATATCTGCAGATAATTGACATTAGAAATGCATGACATTATCTCTTCTCTTCCATTTTTAGAAGGAAAGCTCATAGGCTCATATGCAGGCCTTGTACAGCATGAATGCTACATACAAAATATGCAATACCATATTTCCAATAAATCGAATCCTCGTCTACCATTTATTTGGAAAAGGTTAAAAATAACAATTTTACTTCACAGGGAAAACAACACCATAACATAAAAAATGAGGCATTGGGAATTATAATAATTGGAATAAAATTACATCAAAGAGATGAGTTGTGCTCTAATTGCCAGATGAATAGCTGCTTGAGAAAAAACTATATTGATTAACCACAAGTCAATGATAAACATTTGTTGCATCTACATATTGACCAACCACTTACACGATAAAAGAATAAGTTGTGTACTTTAAAAAATAGCCATAAATAAATAATTTATAGTTTAATGGGATACCAGTGATGATAGTTCATGGAGTAAAAGCAATGATCTTCAAAATGCCAACAAAATGAAGAGAAAAGCATCCCAATGTAAAGCCAAGGTACCATAACACCAGCAACGTTTTGATGGACAGCTTGTAGCATTGAGCCTCGCAACTTAGGCAAATTATTAAGATTCCAGGGACTAACACAATACTCATCCCATATTTCAGTTCCTACTGTTGCAAGCCTTTGGTCAGTTCTGCGTGGAAATCCACTCCCATAAACAGATGTATCCAAGTCATTCCCATATAGAACTTCAACTTCACCGACAAATCCCTCTACTATTTCCCAAAACTTCTTCTCCAGTTGAACGCGCGATATAGATGCAGGTGACCCGAACCATTTTCTCTTGGCCCGGTCATCCACACGTCTAAAAGCTTCCAATGTATAATCCTTACCAGGCACAAAACCAAAGCTGTCCTTTTCAGAATTCAAGCACTCCAAGCAGTACCAATTGCCAGGTGGAACATGTTTTAGAGGTGGTGATAAACAGTAAATATGCCATCCCTTGTTGCATCTATCACAGAGAAGCATTACTTCGCCGTGTGTACCACTTTTGCACTGCTCACATATTTGGTCAAACTCTTCCTCCTCCACCTTGTCCACTTCATCATGTCTCTCACCATTGGTATTATTTCTCCTTCTCTTCAAACCAGAAGTTTCAGGATGCGGCACACTTTTTCTATAATGGTGAGCTTTTCGCTTACAACTCTTATTGCTAACCTTATTCAACTTGCCACAATACTCTTCATAATCATACAAATGTTCAAGGTACAACTGACTCAACACATGCTTGGCACACTCCGTGATCTTCCCGCTTGACCTGACAAACCTATAAACTTCACCCCACTTCTTATCCTTTGCAACCTTATCATATCCTCCATACCGCTTCACCGCATTAAATAGTTTACAGAAATCTAATTCTGCCCCCTCAAAGAGAACTCTCTTCTTCACACTCCGACCACAATGCTCTTCTAAGAACCTATTATACTCAATTTCGAATGTTTTGGGGTCACACGAAGCGCATCTTGCCTGCAACTGGTGAATCGCCTGAGTTTTTGTGGGAAACGTGAATGAATCCAAATCCAATGCAAATGGAGGTTTCCAGCTCTTTGGAGGTACAACTTTACAGATACCATACTTCTCTGCCTCTCCCTTGATCTTATATATATACTCCAAAGGGTTCCTAAAATCCTCCTCTGTCGGATAATAAACAGGTGCAGGTGGTATATTGAAGGATCCGCTTCTCGATGCACTTGGGCTTTGCCCTAATACCCCTTTCTCCACTGCCCTTGGCTTCCCTCTCCCCATCAGTGAAAGCTACTGCCTGTATCTCATCAATGTAAAATATATATATAAAAACTCTCTTCCTGCACAAATCTTTCCAAAGATATTGACTTTCTTTACAAAGTTGCGATCTTTGTTTTCTCAAGAGATTCTGCAATTCCAAAACTACATTTTTTACCAATTGAACAACAATAAAACTATAAAGAGAAAACGCCAACAAAATGCAGTCATTGACGCACCTTTTGCGAAGAATTTCAGTTTTAATTTCCTCTCTTTCTATCCAAGTTATCTATGTGTGGTATTGAATTTGTTGTCTAGAGTAACACAAGAAATCACATAGTTCTCGTTCAGGATCTCAATCGGGTTGGTTATTAGGTTTCGCGCATTCTTTTGCTTTATGGGCCTCCATTTGTTGGGTTGACATAAAAACCGAATGGGTCCATAATGATACCGATCGAAATTGTACTGTTTGAAACAGGCATCGGTCCTAAATTTTGAGAACCGAAAAATATATGGGATTTTTATATTTCTATATACCAATAAATCTCTTTTATAGACTAACAATTTTATAGATTTAAACAGTTTTATAGATTTTTATCCCGAATTGAAATTGTACTGTTTGAAACGAGCATCGATCCTAAATTTTGAGAACCGAAAAATACCTGACTGGAACGTTCAAAAATAATGTATGTGGGATTTTTATATTTCTCTATACCAATAAATCTCTTTTATAGACTAACAATTTTATAGCTCAAGTATGTGTTCATCATTGTAGGGGTGGGCAAAAATACCGGAAAATCAGTATACTGCACTTACCGTACCCAAAAAATACCGGAATATTGGTATACCGTCATTTCGGTACGGTATCATACCGTACCGATTTATTTCAGTACGGTAACGGTAAATGTTATAAAATACCGCGGTATACCGGTATAATACCGTACCGTCTCCCTACCCAACAATTACTTTTAATTCTAAAATATTGTAAAAGTCCATTACAATTTTGAAGCATAAAATTAATACTTAGGTTGGTTACAAATACCAAAATACAAAATTAAAGGTCCAATTTACCAAACCCACTATAACTTTTTAGGTTTCTACTACGTAACATTCGAACAAACAAACTCTAATGACTAATGAGTAATGTACTAAGTCTAGAAACAAATTCATCTTGTTCCAAGAGCTTGCGAGTCGCGATGGCTGAGCCGCTGAGTAGCTGACGAGTGAGGAGTGTGTCTACATGAGGATTCCGTGAGTCGAGACACACAACTTTGTCTGAAAGTCTTATTCAAATATTTTTTTAAAATTATAAAAATGACTAAATATGCAATATCATATTAGGAATAAATGATTTTATATCAATGTTGTTTGAATAATTTTTTTTAGATCACTATTAATCTAATTATATCTATATTGTTGACGTTATTTTAGGAGAATGTGTTGTTTTTTAATATGTGGCATGTTGAACTGATTAAATATACTAATAATAATTATTTTTCAATATTGAATATGACATCAATAGATTATTAATTGTATTTTGTAACATTTTAATAATGGATTAAATATGTCGCTAGAACACCGATTTAGTATATTTCGTTAATCTATGATAATTTGTTGTATTGAGAGACATGCATGGTAATTTACCGATACCGTACCGATACCGTACCGTTACCGTACCGAAACCTCGGTATACCGAAATGTGGTATATACCAAAACTTCGGTAAGGTAACGGTATATAAATTTTGTATACCGAAAGTTTTGGTATGGCAAAGGTATGAGAGAAAATATTTGGCGCCGTCTGTGGGAAACTTGAACAAAAAGTTTCAAAGCAAAACACTTACCTAAACTCCAAACCTACCTCCAGAATGGCCAGAATCACCTCTCAACGTATTGATGGAAGCTCGGAGCGACGTGGGGACAGCAGGACCCTGGGAAGCTAGACCTCTCAAGGGCAATCCAGCCGAGGGTCTCACCAACGGTTTGATGGGGACTTCTTAATCCCCAAAGCACTCAGGAGGAACCCCCATGTCATGCTGGATCTGGCCAGAGTGATGTAGCAGTTGGCTGATGACCGGGTACACTCCCCCGTCCCCACTCCGACGAATGCAACCATTCGACGAGGACACCATTGATAAAGAAACAACCAGGGCTTCGTCCTACTCACGGGCCCATCAGGGAGATCACTGAAGGGCTCACATGGTTAGGGACAGGCAACACACTCCCAGTGACCGCACCCCCGACCGGGTCCCAAGCCAGAGGAACTACGCCAGTTGGACATCGTTTCCGGTATGAGGAGCGTGACGGAACCAGGTTCATACGGAGACGTCAGAATACAGATATGCCCCCACTAGAGGGAAACCAGGAGTATGTTGATCTAAGAACTCCACCACCTCCTCCCCTAGCGGCCCGGGAAGAAGATATGGCCGAGATGAGGGGGCAGATGACTGAACTAAGAGAGCAAGTGAACCGCACAACCCAAGAACCCACTCCAGCACGAGTTGGGATCACTTCTCCCTTCACCAAGGAGATCATGACTACTAAGATCCTGAGGGATTGCAGACCACTGACCGGTCTAACGTACGATGGGGCGGGAGATCCCCATGTACACTTGAGGAGTTACCAAGGAGGGCTCATGCTTTTGGAAGCGACAGATACGGCAATATGCAGGCTATTTTTCAGCACGCTCGGGAGCCCGTCCAGGAGTGGTTCGGGACCCTGCAGCCCGGGTCGATCCGCAGTTTTGCCGAATTATCATCCTTATTCTTGGCACAATTTGCTTCCGGTGCCACCCCAAAGCGGCACTTCAGTTACCTCACCAGTGTTAAGCAGCGACCAAGGGAATTCATCAATCGGTTTCTGAAAAGATGGAGGGACGAAACCCTAAAGGTTGGAAGCATGACAGAGGATACAGCAATCACCCGGTTTACTGATGCCCTCCGGACCAGAGAACTGTACAAGTACTTGAAGAAGAATCCGGCCACGGCATATGCCAAAGTACTGGATAGGGCCCAAAAACATGCAGCACTTGAGGAAGAGATCATGATCAGGGATAAGGTGGCTACACCTTCTGCACCAACAAAATTGGTCGGTCGGTTGGGTCCTATCCCAACGGCCACACCCCCTCTGAAGCCAGGGCGCTTCACCCCTTTTGTCTTTTCCACAAGGACCATTTTCCAGCACGAGAAGGACAACCTTCCCCCTCCAACTGATACCAAATCTTTTATGGCATCTGATGGTCCCGGATAGGGTAAAAGTTTAGAGGGGGTGAATAGACTTTTAAATCTTTTTCAACTTAAAAGCGTTTTTCCCTCTAAAGAGTTAATCTATAATCTTTTGAAAGATTTATAGATGCACAGCGGAAGTCTTTACCCTTTATGTAATTAGTGTATAACCACTTTCTAACTTGGAGAAGGTTTGACTTAAATAGCTAGCAGTTGGTTTGGCAATTGGCTTAGCAGTTGGCTAGGTAGCAGGGAACTAATGAGGCAACTGCTAGAGAAATATTGACTGTATGACGAAAGGGTTTATGGAATATTGTTTAGAATGATGAGGGTTGTCTGAAGAGGTGCTCTAGTAGGAGTAAAGCAAGGTTTTACTGAAGCAGTGGTTTCGGCAGTTGGGTGGTAATGAGGGAACTGCTGAGCCACCTGCTTAGGTTATAAGAAGATTTCAGAGATCAATTTAAGCAAAACTTCTTATTGATGATGTTATGAGAGTCTGGTGATTTTGAGATGTTCAAGGGAAACAAGTGTTTACGAGCAGAGGGCTCAGCAGTTGGGTGGTTTCCAGGGAACTACTGAGGCACCTGTTATACTTAGAGAATGAATTTCTGGGAAACTGATAGAACAGGCCTTTTAGTGATATTGATGCACGTCTCTTGCGTGAAAATAGTCTCAAAGAAGGTAAGTAATTAAGCAGTAGGATAAGCAATTGGATCAGTTAAGACAACTGTTTAGGATTCTGCTGGCAAACTTCAATCTTTTTGTGAGAAGTGCTTTGTTGAATAAATGTAAATCAACACACAGTGTATCCTGGTTCAGAGGTGGTGTAATCCTCCTACGTCCAGTCTCACCCTCTTTCAGATGGATTTCACTAAAGTATTAAGCCCAATACACTTGGTGCCAATCTAGCCTTTACAACACTTAGGCCTGGATTGAAGGTTTTTCACAGTGAGTATAGCACCACTCAAAGTTACTCAATCCTTAGTTTTTTCTCAATTAATCCAGTGGGGATTAAAGGGTACTCTATCTATCTATCCACACCTTAGGATCCGAACAACAGTTCTCCTAAGTGTTTACGACAATTTGTGAAATGTTACTAGAAAGTTCTAACCTCCAACTATGAACTAAACTTCTATGATTTAACAATGAATGACTTGTAAACTGGAAGTTTAGTGAAGCATGAGTCCAAGCAGAGAGTAAAGTTTAGAATAGCACTTTCTCTTTTTCTAGATAGCTCGTGAATGCTCGTGGAAGAATTTTTCTACTTTGGATGCTCAAAGCTTGGTTAGAAACTTTCGTTTCGGCCTCTATTTATAGGCTTTTTGGTTGATCAATCTTATCCGTTGGTTAGGATAGATTGATCTCTTCCGTTGAATAATTGGTGTGTATGAGTTGTACTCTTGTCTCTTTGTGCTGGAGTATTTATGGAGACTGTCTCCAATAATCGTCTGAGCATCTTTTTCAAGCATGTGTCCCATAATGTGGGTCGATGTACCTGTTTTAGCATTTAAGGCAGGTCTAATTTTGTCTTCCAATCATTTACATTCAATGTATTTGATTTACGAATTTAGCCTCTTTTGTGACATTTTAATTATTTGAGCTAAATAATATATGCCCGGTAGGATCTAAATATCCTATTAAGGTAAATAAAAATTACCTTATTGCATTTTTACTTTTCCGGTAATATTTCATTAGTCTCAAAAAATTGTACATTTATTTTGTCACATAATGCTAATAAAATTAAGACACAATGTACATGTGCTAAGTATAGTGGCATCATCAAAATCTATCAAAATTGGGTACTAACAGGATCAGATGAAAATGCCTTCCGTAAGTACCATGAACGGAAGGGTCACCCACCCATTTCTTCCGAGCATTACAGATTGCCATTGAAGAGTTGATCCAGCGGGGTCACCTGGATAAATATGTGAATAAAGACCCAAACGCTGTAGGGCCCCCGAAGCAGTTCAAGAAACCCAATAGTTGGAGACGAGATGATCAACGGGATGTTGAGTCCAGGAATGATGCATGCATTTCCTCCTAGGGATGAAGCGGAAGGTTCGGGGAACCCAGGAAAAAAGCCAAGAATGGAAGTGAAAGTTATATTCGGGGGCGGGGAAACAGGGGATTCAACCGCTGAATGGAAAAGGTTTGAACAGAGCCTCTATGTGGGA